TGAAAAGACAATGTGCTACGTTATATTTTCTGTACATCAATCAACGTGAAGAACATTTCAGCCACAAAAGTCATCTAGCAGACTAATGAAGGCTTGTGTTTGACGTATCGTAAATCTGAGGAGAAAAATTGAAAAAATAATGGGAACATTCGGTTAGTTTTCACTCCTTCAGTGTTTTTTCTTGTTGCATTGCATTACAATCTTAATTTTAGAAAATGTATGCACTGATTCTAAACACATTATTAAAATGAACCTAAAACATGTTTGTTGGACAAATTGTTTTTGTTTTATTGTCAGCTGTGACTAAACTCTCTAAAGATTTAATCTGACAGTTTCCTTAAAATCAGCACAATAATTCATGAGATATTTTGCTAACACACTAGACACTTTCAAAAACATGCTTCACAGCTTCAGTTTTGCATTACATGGTTATAATGGTATAAATTTAATTATATATGGGAAGAACTCCCACACACAGGAAGTGCCAAGCACTGTGTGACAGCTCCTCTCATTGCAACACACTCCAACATCTTATACATATATAAGCTAGAAACAATAAGTTACTCATATGTTATATATACATATTATAACTCTTTAGCAATACTGTATGTAAACTTCCAAAATAGGCCTCTGATTGATTTTATTATTCCATATATAGCATATGCCAGCGTGTTGGACAAAATATACATACATCGGCATAAGTTGTCTCAAATGTTATCATCAGGCTCTAAAAGTCCATTTCTGTTGAATGCGCAGGAACATTTGCTGGTTTTTCAGGTTCGCTCTCATTTCATTCAGCTTCTTCTTGTTCTGGTCAGACTTTATCCTTTTTCTTTCTTCTCTTTGTCTCTGTGACTCGAATATTTTACATTGTGCCTCATTTCCAATTCTCCATTCAGTCACTTACTAAGCATCGTCTTTTCTCATTCAGCAAATTAAGTTTAACCGTCTTCTCTGTTCATCAAAGGGGGGTCTCAGGTGACAGAGGGTGGGGGGGTTTCAAGTTTTTGCTTCAATTTACCAGCCGTTTCTTCATTTTATGGTTTGCTTTCTGAATTGGAGTCATTAGTGGATAGTACTTAGCCAAATGAAATTATTTTGCCCCTTTTCATTCTGGATCAGAGTCTGTTGCAGGCATTTAGTCTGTTTTAGTGCTCACTCTCCCATGGCTATAAAGGCTAAACAGTCTACTTTAGTCTGTTTAGGATGCAACCAAATCCTGCGGCTGAAGTGTTGCTTATTCTGGTTATCTGGGTGATCTGGGAAGGCAGGTTCAAACTGGCTGCGGTCATTGTGGTGAGAAGGACGCACAGGTACGATGACGTACAATGGAGACAGAGAATGTTCTGTGCACGTGTCAACGCTTGGACCGTCAGAAATAAAAATAATAGAATAGAGTATCGTCTACCCAGCAATGCTACTTTTGAGCTGCTGGAGGACCTGGAGTTTGACTTGGAACCAGTCACAAACAGAAGCCATGCCACATCTATGGAAAATACTTCTGGCAACACTGCCTTTCCTTGTGTCTGAATCATTTGCCTCCTCCTTCAAAGACCTCCAACTCCATGACTTCAAGCTTAATTTTTTTTTTACACACTAACCACAGCTTCTTTCAGTTCTCGTTTGTTTCGGGGGTTGGGGGTTGTCCTTCAGTCTCCTCTTCAGGAGGTGAAATTCTCTATTGGGTTCTGGTCAGGTGATTGACTTGGCCAGTCTAAAACCTACACTATATTGTCAAAAGTATTTGCTCACCCATCCAACATGGATGTCAGAGTCTGGTGTGGATGAACTGGACTGACCTGCACAGAGTCCTGACCTCAAGCCCATAGAACACCTTTGGGATGAATTAGAGCAGAGACTGAGAGCCAGGCCTTCTGTCCAACATTAATACGTGACCTCACAAATGTGCTTCTGTAAGAACGGTCAAAAATACCCATAAACATACTCCTAAACCTTGTGAACAGCCTTCCTGAAGAGCTGAAGCTGTTCTAGCTGCAAAGGGTTGAGCAACGTCATATTGAACCCTATGGATTAGGGGATGTCACTTAAGCTCAAATGAGTCAAGGCAAGTGAGCGAATACTTTTGGCAATATAGTGTACTTTTTCCCCTGATGAAGTCCTTTTACTTTGCTGGCAGTGTGCTTTGGGTCATTGTCCTGTTGTATGATGAAATTCCTCTCGACTAGTTTGGACATTGACATGACGTCCACCATTCTTCATAGATGAACTCGTGTGCTTCTGATCATCAGCAGTTTCTTTCTTTCTCTTTCTTTTTGCTGTTCCAGTACTTTTAGAGGGCACTGTATACAGGGAACAAATAAAGTATGAGATTTTTTTATTTTATTTGCTGTGATCCAGCTATGTTCTAATACGTTGTGTGGGTTGTAGAAAGCAAAGTTGTCCTCCCGCATCAAAGAAATATGAGCTGAAAGATTTCACCTGAAAAGTGTTGAGTTCATAACTGATCAGGAAAATATTCATAAAAACATCTGATCTCTTTCTTGGGAAAAGAATATTGAGTTGCTAAGTTCACGATTGATGTTTCACAGCTCACACGTAAAATGACTGGGGACTGCCAGAAACACAGTACAATAGATGCACATAAAATACAAGTCTACTTTAAAGTCTTCTCCTGTTCTTCCGTCTGAAACTCACCTCAGAGAAGTCGAGGGTGAGGCACTCAGCCAGCCTTCCTAATTGCCACATTGATTCTTAGAAATATTGTAGGCAGGGTGATTTTTTCAGAGAAACTGTAAAGACAGGAGAGATTGGAACAACTCTTTGAACAACTATCTGTTAAACTCCATCTTGTTATTATTTTACAGTCAAAGAAAGTTGTAGGGTTTTAAGTGTCAGACCATAAGAAAAATTATCTGGTCTTTGCCAGATTCTGAAAATACTCAGCAGCACAACTTGGGTTTGAAAACTTGCATCTGAATGAAGCACAAGACCAAACTATTCTAGCGTCAAATGTGAGGCCATCTGTCTGACAGCTGAAGCAAACTGGGTCATGATGCAACAGGACAAAAAGCCCAAAGACAGCAGCAAATCTACAACAATGTGGCTGAAAAGTACTGTAAAGTATCAAATAGTTGCAGGGGGTCAGTCAGAGAAACAAAGACCAACTGAAAATTATTATTTTTTTAATTAAAGCAACTAAATGTGCACTTAGTCTTTTCACAAGCAGTTTTTTTTTTCTGTTTTGGCTTCATTCTGTTTAATAAATATTAACATGATATATTCTGTTGTGAGACTTTGGACACGTGATATTAGATTTGAGTACTTTTAGAATCTTGTAAATGTCAGACAATTTTTATTATGTCCAAATATAAACAATTCAAGAATTGAAAAAGGGGCGATTTTTATGACTGTATTAACAAACACAGTGATGACACTACTCCAAAGCATGATTTAACACTTCAAACAAATGTCTTGGTCTTCTGTGTGACTTAAGAAAATGCTATGTGACAAAATATCCATGAAAAAGCCAAGACTAAAACCAGCATTTAATAGATGGATTTTTATATCTTCAAGCAGGACTTCATGAAAAGAAAGATAGGATTTTGAAGTGGAAATCCTTGCAGGGTCTCATAAACACTTCTCTGAAGCCATTTTCTCGAAATACACATTGTTGCTGCATCTACAAGTTGAAAGTCTACTTACCACCCTTAGAATAAAAAAAAAATCCAGAGATTTTGCTGCTTTCTTTTGTCAAAGTGAAAAATATTAAAAAACACAAAAATATTGAAAAAAAATGTCAACTTAAATTTTCAACTTGAGAAAAGTAACAAGTAACAATTATAAACTTTAACAATACTAACCTTCAATTAACAAAAACAAACGTAAAAACATAAAAAAATCTGACACCTAATTAGGTGTCAACGATAGCCATGTGATGTGAGTATCAGTCACATGGAGGCAGTGCTTAAAAGCCTGAATTTTGCCTGAAACTCTCAGACTGAAGAAGTCTCTTGGAGGAGAGAAGAAACGTTTCATTAGAGAAGAACCCGCCCAGAAGACCTACACAATTTTTTTCTTTTTGATTTTTTACCTGGATTACTGAGATGCATCAGGAAATCTTGAACATGTATATTGATGTAGTATTTTTAACATCATCTTCCAGATTATTCCACAATCTTACTCCTTTGACGTGCACCATTCTTTCAGACTGGTTCTAAATTTAGGTTTCACGAACATCTCCATTCACTTTAGGTTATTACAGCTCTTTCTCTTAATAAAGTTTATCTGAACGTTTAAAGGTAATGTGTTTTGGTGATGCTTGTAACACATTTAAAAGAAAAAAAAGTAATGATAAATCTTGATTAAATAACGGTTAAAGCTGCATTTGGTAACTTTAAAAAAAGTATTCTTTACATAATTGTAAAACTGTAACTACATCCCCTGACTCCTCCCAGTGGTCCTACAGCCATTTGCAGAAATACGCTCTTCCTGGTCAGAAACAGCCGATAAGACACGAGGGCTGTTTTACCAGTATCAATCTTGCTCGTGTGCGCGCTGCACTCAAAAGTTGAGCTCACACTTACGACAGTTACAGAGAAGGTGAGGTAAACCCAAATATTGGACATGGTTGAATTCAGTTCTGTACTATCTGAGATGAGAAATGGTCTAACATGTTTGATTCCACCTGCATCAGTTGTGGCCTGTATTCTTTCTGCATGCACATTTAGCTCATGCTTCTTTCATAGGTGGCTAGGATGCTATTGCTGCTGCTCTTGACGTTTTCAGGCAAATTTTTTTTATAAGAATAGCTAACGCATTTTAGGTAGATTATTCACACATATACTCGTTCCAATTGGCATTCCAATGTCATTTGGACATTAGAACTTCTGCAAACAATTATTGTTTCTAAAAACTATTGAAGTTTCATGTTGCTTCAGCATTCCACCTGTCATCTAACATTAAGAGGACATCTATGACCATGGTGTGTGTATCTAACTCTAACTACCAATGCACTCTTTTTTCTTCTCTTTTTTTAATAGAGGAATCCCAAGTAAAAAATGTGGGACCATCATAGTAAGAGCAGAGGAGCTGAGCAACTGCAGGGTAAGGGTTCACAGATTCACCTTTTTTCAGAAAGTATCTAACTTTCAGGTTCTAGTTTCTGCTTCTGCCTTGCAAAAAATAGTCTGAATTTGCAAACACAGGCTCATTTCAAATTCAGATATGTTGCCATGAATATAATGACATTACAGTACTGCTATCGCTAACAGTTTTGAGTTTTTCAAAAATGCACAGAGTTGGGTAAATGTCTTTATATTTACAGTAGGTTAAGAGATTTGAATATAATTATTATTAATACACTATAGGTTATTTAAACCAGAAGCTGAACCTAATTTGAAAATATGTTGTAGAGTTTTAGTATTACTAAATTCAACCCAATCCATTTTATTTATATAGCACCAATTAACAGTCATATCAGGGCACTGTACAGAAAACACTCTCATACATTATAAAATACCAATTAGAAAAAGTTACATATATATCTTAGGAAGTGAACAGATTGCATTGAATCTTCACTTTGTCACAATCTCCCATCCTGAGCAGCACACTGGTGACAGTGGAAAGGAAAAACTCTCTTCTATTAGGAAAAAACTTCCAGCTAAACCAGGCTCCTGATGAGCAGCCATCTGCCTCAAATGGTTGTGCTTAGAGAGGACAGGAAGGAAACACATAAAAACACACAAAAAAGACTGGAACAAGTGTAATTTCTCTGGGAAGAGAGATGAAGAAAAACACAGGGTGATGATAGAAATAAATACAAATACAAATGTGGGGTTAAAAGTCGTGTCCTGATCAAAAATAACACCAAGGTTCTTTACATTAGAACTGGAGGCCAGATTAATGCCATCCAGAGGAGGTGAAAGGCTGAAAAGTTTATTCCCATGATGTTTAGTTCCAAAAACCACAATGTCTGTCTTATCTGAGTTTAGATGCAGAAAATTAAAAGTCATACAGGTTTTTATGTCTTTAAGACATGCTCTTAGTTTAAGTAACTGTCTGGATTCATCAGGTTTCATGGATAAAATAATAACTAAGTATCATCAACATTATTTAGACTCCCCCTAACACAAACGAGGCATTGCATCCTTTACGGGTCGAGAATCATGCCTTAAATTTAGAAGAACTGACTCCTATCCCAACAGCAGATGCCAACAGAACCACATCATCCACATAAAGACAAATTAAACAGATTGAAAATGGGAGTATTATTTAAGGGAAAACCCCCTTTGAACAGTCTGTATGGATGGGATCTAGCAAACACCTTAATGGTTTGAACAAAGCTATTATTTTAATAGTACTATTTATTATTACTCTCCAGCTAAAAACAAGAATTAATAGCATGGCCTTTTTATAGTTCATTGCATTAGCACTGGAGGTCAGGGTAGTTTTATCTCTTTAGGGATAAAACAACAAAGAGGAAAAAAACCTTTGTTAACTGAAGTAGATGTGAGCAAACTCACTGTTTGAAAGTGTTGCAGTGTCTCTGTCTACATTGTGCTGAGCCAAACTGTGACTGCCTCTCTTTATAAAT